CCCCAAAACCCCAAAACCCCAAAACCCCTTACATAGGTACTAAAACTGATTAATTAAATACTTAGAATATGTACAGCCCCTACATTAGAGGGAAGGATTAGACTCATAAAGTAGTGGCGGTGAGAGTCCTAAGTCAGGATCTTTGAATGACTCTTGGCTCATAATGTCTATTTTGAATTCAACATCGTCTATAATAGAGAATTTAGAAAGAAGATATGCGAAATATACCTTTGCAGCTATTACCAGCCGGAATTTCTTCTAATTTTTGGCTATATTCCTTGATATGTTCTACATTTTTAAGCAACCCAATATTCTGGCAATCTTCTTCGCTCAAATCAAGGGGAGATTCTCTATCAAAAGCCTTATATTCGCTGATCCTGATAGAAGATTGGCTTTGTAGGAGGGCTGTCTGAGTTGATTCAAGGCTTGGTGCGATAAGATAAGTCTTGAAATCTTTGTAATCAAGTTCCTCTGTCTGTCCCAGTTCTCCAGCTTGAGTGTCATCCTGAGTATCATTTTGAGTGTTATTCTTTTTATGATCAGCAGAGAGGGACAAAAGCTTCTCTTCAGCTTTTCTGATCATATCTTTACACTCTTCAAGATCAAACTCATCCCCTCTTCTTTTCAGAAATCTGTGAAGATCCTCTGCACTAATCTTGCCATTTTTACTCCCATCAAGGTGAAAGAAAGCATTAGCAATATCTTTAGCCTTAATTTCCTTCCGTACATCCACAATCCTCAACAAAAAATCTGAATAATGAATCTCAAGCTCTGGTGCTTTCTTGTCTAATTTCTTAAGTTGCTTCAGTTGTTTTTTAAACTTCTTATTATTGCCAAGAAGCTCAATGAGCTCTTTGATCCTAATACAGCCGGTATTCTTTACATCTAGGGTTTCGAAGAGTTGGTTCCATTCTTGGATCACTTCTGACTGGATGTTGCTCAGTAGAAGATTAAAGATTTCTTTCTTCAGGATGTCTGGTGTTCTGTACCTAGCAAGCTTTGAGATCACTCTATGTGATAAGTTATTTGGGAGTTTTAAAGAAGAAGTGGTCAGAAGATAGTAGAAAGGGCATGAGAGGCTAGGAAGTTTTAAGCCCTCTCTACATAAACACCATGAAGCAAATAGAATTATGAAAATTATTGTTCTTTAGGAATTTAGGAAAAGTGCTACTTTTAGGTGACAGAAATATTCATTAAATCTTGGAATAGACATTAATCTTTCGAATTTTGAAGAGCTTAGAAGGGGCATTTAAGGATAAAAAGATTCATCAGAAGGGGAATATCGTAATTTGAGAGGGTTATGAAGCTTTGAAGAAACATTTGAGTAGTGAAACTTATTTGAACAGAAAATAAGAATGACTAAAGATTGACAAGAATTGTGGAATGATCATTTTAATTGAAATTACTATAATAAAGTTATGGTCATATTTAGTATAAAAACTGGACCAAAATTAAGAAGATTTCTTGAAATCTGTGGTGTAAATGAAGATTTAAATTTATTTAGGCAAGCCTAACTAGAGTTTATAGAATCTTTCATTGTCTAGTCAAGATTTTTGAAGCAGTTTCGCTATGAAGATTTTGCATTCATTTTCAATTAAGGAATCTAAGCAATCATCAAGTCATTATGACAAAAAACCTTGCATTTAAATAATAACTTAGGTGAAAGAAAATCTTTACCTGTCATTAAGTTCTGGAGCCTGCTCTTGAGCTTTAATGATCCATTGGTGCTGTAAAGCTTCATCTGCTGTCATTCTTTCCTTTGGATCAACCGTGAGAAGTCCTTTGATAAAGTCTTTACTTGACTGGGAGAGATTTTTAAAATCTTTATTTATATATTTTAAGTCTCAGCTGCGAATTTTTACGAATAACTCAGGTAATGTCTTTGCTTGGAAGGGAGGACATCCTGAAAGAAGGACATAAGTGATGACTCCTAAGCTCCAAAGGTCACATTCTTTGCCATATCACTTATCCAAAACCTCAGGTGCAACATAGTAAGGTGTCCCTACCTTTGTGGATAATTTCTCTTGTTCATAAAAAGCTGATAAACCAAAGTCGATAATCTTCAATTTTAAAGTATCTGGGTTAATTATGATGTTTTCAGGCTTGAGATCTCTGTGACAAATGTTACATTCTCCTAAATACTTAATGGTCTTGAGTAGCTGAGTGGTTATCTTCCTAGCTTCTTTTTCACTCAGCATCGACTTTGATACAACGAATTCGAAAAGTTCCATGCCCTCGACTAGCTCCATGACAATGTACAGCTTCTTTTTATCCTTAAAAATCTCAAGAATCTTGACGACATTTGGGTGATCAATTTTCTTTAATGCTAACACTTCTTGAACAATAGAGTGGTACTGAGATTTGAGTTTTTCAAGTTTGATAACTTTCACGGCAACTTTGTAGCAAGATTTACTTAGAGATGTGCCTGCCTTCACCACACCATATTTGCCAGCTCCCATCACCTCTCCTAGCTTATAATAATGCTTTATTGGCTCCTCAGTGATAGCCATGTCAGCTAAGGCATCATTAAGGATGTCTAACTTCGTATTTCTTTCCATCCTAGTTGCGATTGTTAAGATCTTGGTCTTCTTCTTAAACTGATTCACTTTTGGAAGACCGCTGGAAGTCTTGTCCAGGATAGAAGCTTCTTCTCGATAACTACTAGTTTCTGACCTCTGTGCTGAGGTACAACATCCGATTGGATTACTATTTCCCATGTTATTATATATTTGTATTAATTATAGCTACCTCTTGTCTCAAATTGGGGTTTTGGGGTTTTGGGGTTTTGGGGTTTTGGGGTTTTGGGG